CCCAAAACCCAGGCCCTGCGGTGAAGACTGGGCTGCAGGACAAGCTCCGCTCACAGACCTTGCGAAGGCGCCCCAGGTGGTTAGTCCCCAGGAGCCACACGGCCTCGGCCAGCATCCTCCCCTCGCAGCAGCAGAACGTGCTCACGCCGCAGGGCGACGGCGGGAGCCCAGCGCCCCCCCGCCGCTCGCTGCCCACCTAGCATCGCTCGGGAGATGTCACTTGAGGCACAGCCGCCCATACATACTACTGTCAACGTGCTTCCAAAGGGTACAGGTCTCACGGACTGCGTCGAGACGGAAGATGCTACCGATCACGCCTCGGCCCAGAACAAATCCAGAGCCTGTTTCTCCCCGCCTGCCCGGAGCCATAACGATCTGCGTTTCCTCCGAAGGGGGTGGGAGCGGCGTCCGCGCCGGGGCTCTGCAGCCCGTCTGCGAGCGCGCGCGCCCTCCGCGCCGCACAGACCCTCATTGTGAGCACCCCGGCCGGCGAAGGCAGCGCGCGAGCGAAGACGAGGTGTCTCCGAGTGCAGGATGTGAACATGAACCTCCCAGCCGGCTTCCTTCTCTCCTCTCCACCCCCTCCAGCTTTCTTAAAGAAAATAAACACTAGCAGAACCTTCCATTCACTGTCCCCGTCCAGCGCACAGGACGCACAAAGGGACATTGCTATTGCACCAACAGAGGGTCCCCTCAGCGGCTGCGCACAAAGGCTGCCTGTGTCTCACGAGCAGCCAGAATGTCAGAGGGATTATTATTATTTTGGGAGGGGGTCGGGGGGTGATTTGGTCCTGAATAAGGTCTCAGTTCAGCTACTTCCAGCGCCCCGCACACAGCATCAGAGCTCCCATTTAGCGGAGGCGAGCTGGAATTCCCACACAGCCCATTAAGCAGATTTACAGTTCCACGAAGTAAGGCTGGTAGCAGCAAGAGCAATAACGGCTCCGGGCCGAGCCCCGGCCCCCGGGGACCTCCCGTAACCGCACACGTCTGACACGGCTCGTTGGCACGAGCATCACGAACCGGCAGCGCGGCCGGGGCGGCCTCTTCCCCGGTGCGACGGCTCCATCTGCTCGCACGCGGCTGGAAAGGTTTCCAGACAGACGCCTCAAGCTTCCCACCCCTTCCAAGCCTCTTTGCATCGTTCCACTGGATGCATAGACCAGGGATAGACTCAAAGGCTCCACACAACCAAAGCTGTACCCACCACGACCCAAGGAAAGCCCTACACGGAGCAGCCAGGACTGCCATTTGCTCCAACAGAAGATGAGCAGATCCTCCAGACAGCACAACCACGTGCTCCAAACAGCAACTGCCCCCCCCACCGGTTAATCCGGTAGAAAAAACAAATCCCAAAGCTGAGGCCCTCTCTTTAAGGCACCTTGGGACTACACAGAAAAGGCAGAGCAGCAAGTCACTTCTGTGGGGGCTGTTCTTGGGCACGGTGACACGAGCGCAGTGACGTGCTGGCTTCCCTGTGCCACCCCACAACACGCAGCTGCCCAGCCAGCAGCAGCACATCCCGAACTCACCTCCCTGGTGCAGCGGAAAACCAGCTGAAGCGTTGGGCCTACCTGCGGCCAAAGGAATGACTCCACACTGTGGCCATGATCCCTCTCAGAAAGTGGGAGAATGAGACCTTCCATAGCTATCCACAGGCCCAAGAGCAACCCAGAGACTATGGGAAGGGATCAGCCTTCCTCTCCAGGCAGCGGGAGGATCTGCTATAGACCCACTCTTGGACAGCAGCACTGCAAGAGGGTGCAAGCAGCAGGGCCCCGCTCAGATGGGTGCCCCATCCCACAGCAGCGAACAGGGCAGGGGAGCGAAAGGGCATTGCGTTGCGCGGGAGAGGCTGCTCCGCGCCTGGGGACCGCAGGTCGGTAAAAATAACTGCCCCACTCTGCTTCCCATAACTGCAGGACCAGGAGCTCGGGCTTCTGCCTCCTTCCTCTGATCCACCAGCCTTGTGAGCAAAGATGAGCTGGAAAGAGAACGCCAGGGACCCGCTCCCTGGGACGGAGCGGCCAGCACTCTGCACCCCAGGGACCCCGGCCGCTCTTTGGCTTTAGGAGCGGAGAAGAGGCTGCTAAAGGGGACCCTGGTGCTGGCCAGGGCGCAAAGCAGCAGACAAGGGGCAGCGCTGGCGGTCACAGTGCCATCACAGCCACCAACCCAGCCAGCCAATTCTGTGTTCTCTTCACAGTCTGTGTGTTTGCCTTCATGCTTCCCTGCTCAAAGAGCCTCTGCTTTTGTACCACGCAGCAGAGCTCCTTTGACAGCACATTTGTGAAGTGGGGTCAGTTGCAGCTTTTCAGAGGTTCGGGGGCTTGTTGCTGGCTTCTCAATTCCTCAAGGCCGCGGCTCCAGCAGCTCTGCCTGAGGTGCAGCACAATGGAAAGAAAAGGCTTTGCAGGATCTGTAAAATCTTGGCATATGGTGCCACTCAAGAAACAGGAGCCTGTTGATGTAACTTGCAACCCGAGCAGCAAGTAATAAAATCCAGCGCTCTCCCTCTCTAGCCGCAGCCCGGCTCATTCCTGCCGCTCCGGGGCCTGCCCCAACACCCACAGCTCGGGGCGGGGGGGGCCAGCGCGGCCCAGCAGCAGCTTCTACGGCCGAGCGCGGGGCCGGCGGGTTGCTCCTCGCACCGAGGAGCTCCCAGAGCCCCGAATACAGAGCGGCCTCCGCAGCGCACGGCGCAGAGGCCCCGGGCAGGGGCTGCGCCAGCGCAAACGAGCTGTTTTAAAGGAGCCCTGGGAGCCGCTCCATAGAAGCCTCTAACTCGTTTTCTGCGATTAAGCCCGTTGCTCTCACCCACCTCTCCGTCTCCCTGCCCAATTTCCCGTGCGAAGCTGCACGGGTGCTGCCTTGCCAGAAAAGAGGCTGCATAGAGGGCCCCGGCGGCGGCTGCCAAGGCGCTGGGAAACGCAGCGCGTCTCAGAGCAAGGCCCGACCCTTGTGGAGAGGAGCTCGTCCCCGGCAGCCTGGCCTCCTCGCTCTCCACCTTCCCGGAGCTCCGGCCTCGGCCCCGAGGCGCTTCCACCTGAAGTGAAGCTTGCCAGGAAGACTGGGAGATGGAGAGGGGGCTGGAGCTTCATTCTGGCAAGCGGGAGCCCTCCTTACATTGCCCTGGACACCAAGGCCACCACCCTGCCAGAAACACCCACCTGCACAAACACAGGGTGACCAGAGCAGTTCTGCCACAGAGTATAACAACACCTCCAGAAACACAAACAAAAGGTCACAGCTACACTCAAGTGTGAGCAACTTCGAGAAAACCTTAGTTAGACCAAGTAAGCTAGAAAACGGGTCTGCTGCCAGCCAAGAACAGCCCTTGGGGTAAAACGCTCTCTCTAAGCAGAGGCTGCCTGCAAGGGTCTCTGCAAGGGGCAGAGAGCACATTCCTTGGAGCACCTTCTCCCAGGCACAGGGAGGCTGGAGGAGGACTTGAGCAGATGGCTGGAAAGGCCAGGGGGTGCTGAGGACCCCCGGGTGCCCTCACAAGGCTCCAGGAGAGCCTCCTCTGCCTCAGCCATATCGAGGAACCAGGAGAACTGGGGTCTGTGGGGGTCGGGATCCCTGCCCTCCCTTGGGAGGCAGCTTGGAATCCCAAACGTGCTTTGGGGACCTACGACCTGGGCACTCCCAGCAAGCCCAGGCCAGCACATGGAAGCAGGGATGGCTCAAGGAGCAGCCTCTGAGCTCGCTACCCGGCGGGCAGGAGAAGACACCGGAGCAGGGAAGGCTCCTCCTAGGAAGGGGTCTCCAAGCCCTCTCGGAGCCGCAGGCACTCAGCTACCACGGAGCTTCCTGCTGCAGGAAGGGCAGCAGCACCGGCCCAGGGGCCGGGCACGGCGCTGAGGCTGGAGCAAAGCCACGAAGCGCCAGAGCACCGCGGAGAAAGGGAGGGAGAGGGTCCCAGCCCGGCAGCACGAGCGGCACCTCCCCGCCGAGCAGGGCTCTGCGGCTTTAAGAATCCTCCCCTCCCAGCCCACCGTGTCAGGAAAAATCTGACACGTTTTTTCTGGTGCATGTTAACGGCCGGGCGAGAACAGCCAGTTGCCTTTTCCATTCATTTTCCATATGGCCCCCTGGGACGGCCGCTAATGAAAGAGGCAATTGTGCCCCCGCCGCCGGCTGCGGCAGGGAGGGCGGGGGACACGGCCGCCCCGGGGAGGCGGCGCGG